TAAAGCTCCATCAAAATGTATTTTTACCATACATCTTGGAGGCAACATCCACCTATCATTCTTTAACATCCATACATCAAAATGTCAAACGTAACCTATAACACCAACTATATGCCTATGGCACCAACTCTTTGATATGCCTCTCTTGACGTGGTGCTTAAGTCAATTGCACTCATGCAGCATCACCCTTAATAAACCCTAGCATGGTAGCATTCAAACACTCTGGTCATATCTCAACTTGGATCCTCTTGGCCTCTCTTAAGGTTACTTTTCTAGGTGTGCCTTCTGACTAGCCAACCCTTGTGGCAGCATTTTCTTTTTACAATCTTAGTCTTAATTCCAAACTTAAATACTATGTAGGCTTTGCTGCCTTGGATCAGTTTCACATGTTGTCATGATGCTTCCCCACGTTTACTTAAGATCGACTTTGCACATAACCATGACACATAGTTTAGTTCCATATACTCAAAGCTCGTATCTGCTTTCATTCTCTATACACTTTACTTTGGTACAACTTTGGATAAGGCATCATATAAGCCCATTCAACAATGCTCAAGGATCTGTTGATCCTCTTTAAGTATAAGGTCTTTTGACTTGATCAATTCTTGAGGTACATCAAACTAAGATACTTATGGGTTCATAACTGGCTTGGAATTGGGGTAATTACTCTCAGCTTGTATACTTAAAATTTCCCATATGTGGTTTAACCTAACTAGCTTATCTCTGCCTTGCTCAAACTCATCCAACCCACTGATCGGATGCAACTTGTAATGCTAAGGCCATCGACTTGTTTAACTCAATCAGTCCTCTGACCAACCCAACTCAAATGGCCTTATCCACTAGCCAACTCCCACTTGTTTGCTTCATTGAATTGAATAACCTCATAGTCCATTGACCATCATAACTCATAGGGTCATTTCTTTTGGCCAACTCAAATATGGTCTACTGATCCACACAACACATATGATCATACTCATTGGCCAACGCAATCTCATTTAGCCGTATGACCTTTACAAGTTCGTCTGTTTTTGTAAAAAAAACTCCTTACTTAGAGCTCGATTACTCATCTCGTTTCGTACCCTTGCTAAGGCACTTATAACATAGTAAGTGCACACATCAGTAACATATCTTAACAAGCACATTTTATGTCCCTTAAGGCAAAACTCATTTTAGCCTTCATGGCCTAACTCGACACCATTATATGTTGTGCCTCATTTTGTAATCAAAACTCGTAACTGACCATAATCTAAAAGGTATTGAATGCTTGTATAAGCCAAACACCATTGATAGGTGAGGCTAGACTCCCTTGTCTTTTTGTTTCCTATTCAAAAATTTATTTGAAACCTTGACCCCAAGGCCAATGTTCCTATAGTTCGCATCGATAGCTCATTCTTAAGCCCACACAGCCATAAAATAGTATTTTTTCTCTCTATAGCCCTTTTAAGCTTAGCACCACCTTAATTGATTTCCATAATGCCTCCATTTAAAGTCATTTTAGTCCCATAACTGAGCCTAAATTGGGCTCTAATACCATGTGTCAGAGACAATTCATTCCTTATGCTGAAACCATGCAATCATATGGCATTAAAACTACTCATAGTTAAGGTTAACCTTTTACAAGTCCATTTCTTCATAGACAACCCACTATAGATCTTTTAAGCCGCATCAATGTGAGCCCTTTTTGGCTCTGACCCCATAATGTCTCTCGTATCATTCCTAAACTCATTGAGGGAAAAACCCAACCCCTATCACATAATCAGCCCACAAGTTACAATTTGGGCCTAAGCACTTATCTAGTGGGTACAAGCATTACGGTCTTGAGCACTGGCTCAATAAGATCTTGCATAAGGGCATGCAGCCTCGAGCCTTACAACACAAAAACTTTTTAGCATGGTGGAAATCCTACCCCATACCCATATGCACCATCTGAAGCTCTAGTGCCTAGAACCTTAAAGCACAAAATAAATGTTGTCACATGCCAGCCCAAAACCATACCAAGCTCCCCTCATTCTCATGAAGCGTATATCTTAGGGCCTTAACCCTTAGCCTTACTTTAGGTTGCTTGCATGTATGATGGACACCCAACATCATGCTCGCATCTCATCGAGTTACTCGAGTATGTTGCCACAACTGCAACATATTCTACCATATAGTCATAAGGGTCTAACGACAGGCCTACCTATTAGCCCTCTTATCCATCAAGCTCATTGATGCCCTTACTATACAAGCACCTTCATATGATTCTTGGTTGCTTATGATCCAACTTAATGAAATGAAACTAAAGGGCATAATAAATGCTACCATCTAACCTCATGATTTAACGCAAAGCGCGATATGAGGCCTATTGGGCCCAACCATCCTTAGGATTACCATGTTTCGAGGAGACACCATGCCACACTTGTGACCCAATGATACTCACCTATCTAGACACCATATGTGCTTAGGAATAGCTCACTTCATACTAGTAGGCCCTTACCTGCCTGTTAGCTGTGGGATTGGTAAATAGTTGATACCAAACATCTCCTATATAAAGTGTAGAAACTTTCACAACTATGCTACTAGGAACTATAACAATGTTTGAAATAAGGACATTTTTCTCATCAGCCGACTTAAGCCATTTTTAGCCAACTCAAAGCCCAATGATCTTCCTTTTAATCCCATTGAGGCTAGAATTCCACTCGTTGCTCCATCAACTCACTCTAAGAAGTCAGCACATGACTTCACCCAAAAGCACTCGGCCAACTAACAAACTCCAAGGTGCCTGCACCAAGGCTTGCTTCGAGGCCTGCGCTTGCTCGCACACTTTTTTGGGAATCTAAATCCGATGGACTAAATCTCATATGTTGCTTCCATCAAGTAGTCATGGCAGGATCAAGGCACACCAAAGCCTAACCATGACACTAAACAGTCTCCCACACCGAAGCCTTCATCACTTAGCCAAAAAATATGGCTTCGTAATGTCAATAAGGCTAGGCTATGTACCAACGATTGTGGTATCATCACCAGAAGCTGCCGAGCTATTTCTCAAGACCCACGACGTTATTTTTGCTAGTAGGCCTAAAGTCTAAGCCTCCGAATACTTGTCATATGGTACCAAGGGCTTGGCTTTTGAGCAATATGGGTCGTATTGGCGCACTGTTGGGAAATGGTGTACTTTGGAACTTCTTAGTGCATCAAAAGTTGAATTATTTAGTGAAGTTGCTAAAGCATGCCGCCAAAGCTGGTGAAGTGGTTGATCTTAGCTCGAAGGTAGGTGAACTTATTTAAGATATCATGTATAAGATGATCTTAGGACATAGTAAAGATGATAAATTCGACTTGAAGCCACTTATTAAAGAGGGCCTGAGGTTATTAGGAACTTTCAATATAGCTGATTATATGAGCCTTTCCTTGCTCCACTTGATCTTCAAGTGTGTTTTTTGACAAATATACATGCAATGCTCTTTTTGCATCTTTTTATAGGAAAATTAATTTTCAATAAGTTCTACACGGTCAAAACAAATTCGTTCTTTACAGACCATCTTCCAAAAGGCGAATTTGAAAATAATAAATGATGGTAGCCAGCAATTTAAACTTAGAAACATTTTTTTCAGACTCACATTATGACCAGAGAAGAAACAAAGTTCCCTACAAATTACATTTAATTACAAGTAATGTGTCATTGAAATTCGAACAATTTCAGATAGAAAAAGTCTAACAATTTGTTTACATTTTGTATAATTATCTGAATAAAATAAGGAATTATGCCTCTAATATGGAGTCAACGTGGAGTAATTCAAGTTCAACGAGTGATATGAAAAGTGATAGAAACAAAAGAGTTGAATCCAAATTTTAACTCGATTGATTCATATAATTAATGACATATAATAAATTTTTATTCAAATCTCAATACGTATAATTTTTTTATTAAAAAAAATATATTTTTATCCGCAAACATAATTTATCGTAGATTAAGGGCATACATTAACAGACTCCTAAATAGAGGATTGTTTTAACCAAACATACTTGACCCAGGGTTTGAGACCACGTTTTGATGGAGTAAGAAAAGGCTGTGAAAATTCTTGGAGGAAATAATCGATAAGCATGAATAAGAGAACAATAGCATAGGGATTTTGTTGATGTGATGCTTTCATATTTAAATCAACCCATTAATCCCAACGATAGTTGGATATGGCGGTGAAAGAAAGCTTAAGATTGTATCCAGTTACACCTTTGCTAATTCGACATGATCTATGGAGGACGTTACGATTAATGGATATCATATCCCGAAGAAGTCAAAGATCTTTTGGGCAATTGGGCAAAATACCAAAGTAATGTCCGACAATGCTGAAAAATATTTTTCCGGAAAGGATTGTTAACCGCAATATAGACCTTCGAGGACATGATTTTCAGCTCATCCCATTCGGATCGGGTCGTCAAGCATGTCCAGGACTGCAATTTGGCTTAACAACTGTTCACCTTGTTCTAGCTCGGTTGCACTGTTTTGACTAGTAGCTGCCTGATGGCATGTTACCCATTGACTTGAGCATGACCAAGAATTTTTGCCTTGCTGTTCCAAGGGCCAAGCACTTGCTTGCCAAACAGGCTTACCGTCTATATGAATAAAAATGTGTAAAAGTGGGGCAACATGTATGGATATTGAAAGTTGAAACCGTGAGATTAAATTGCACCTTAAAACCACAAACAAAAACCTCGATGGATTGTTATTATGGTGTTTACCTATTAGGTCGTGTAGAGAAATATTTGACAGTAGCGCAGAAAAACATCACCATTTACCAACGATAAAAAAAATTGTAAGAGGATTGATTCTGCCAGCACGTTTCCACTTTTAAAAATAGAATCACATTACACGAGTAGAGAAACAAAAGCAGTTGGGCAAATTTTGCAGTCTGTAGGCAACCAGCATGGAAAAGGAATAATTAATAAAATTCCTGGACTTAGAACTACTTCAAAGTGATACTCAAGTAAGATTAAGATTATTTCCTAATAAAAAAAAAAAAAAAACAATAAAGGAACTCAGCACGTCAAACAAAAAATTACCTGTATCTGCAAGTGGGTTTCTGAATTTTCAAGGATAAAAAAAATACCATTACAAAGAAAAAGAAAAAAACTGGAGGTATAAGAAGAAACAAAAAGAAATGACTAATGTCATTATCTAGCTGGACATCATGACCTGATCACTTGATTCTAGAGCTTGGCCGGCAAAAAACCTGACATCGACATCGGGATCCTCACTCAATTCAACTAAGCATGGACGGATTGTCTTCTCCACCACCTGTATCGTTCAAGAACACTGAATTATATTACAAATCCAGGAACAAACTAAAACAGCACAACACCCTCTTTTATACATAAACCCTAAAATCAAATGGCATCTCCCATTCCAGGAAGGAGGGCTAAGGAGCCAATATGGCATTATTTTTTACTAATCGCATGCCAATAACATCAACCAATTAAAGAATTCACAAATGGGGAAAAAAATGTAGACAGGAGGTACATAAAGGAAAAAGAAAGAAATCACAGGTGGCATTCCTATTCATTATATCCTACTAACATCGGATGATTTCAATTTGCACCACCATTCTATTCATATATGCTATATGGTCATGTTTGGAGCATAGTATAGGATGATAATCATTTTATATTATGTTTGATTTGTATTTAAAGAAAGACATAGGATTACGATAAAGATTAATCATTTTTTTGGTATAAGATGATTCAATCCTCTCAAAATAAAAAAAATTATTTTTAATCCATGGAATTGAATTTACACGTCATGTTATACCCTTAAAAATTATATTAATAATTTAAATTATATAAATTTTGAAGAATGATAATTTTGATCAATAAATACATTATATCTTAATTCTTGCACATATCAAACACAAAATAGAATGAAATTATTTAATATAATCATATTCATAATATCATCTTCATCCCATCCTATCATAATATTGTGAGCCAAACACATCCTATAATCTTCTAGATAAAGGAAAAAGCAAGAAAAAAAAAAGAGGGAAAATACTAAAACTGAAACCTTTGAAATTTTCTGTAAGACTAGGCGAGACATGTTTTCTGTTTTTTTTTTTTTTTTCCTTTTTCCTTTTTCTTTTATTTCCCATTTTCATTAATATTTCTTTCAATTTTTTAAGATAACATGGCATTTTTTTTAATGGAAAGGAATCTAGCGTAATATGTAAATAAGTGTTCACATCCCAATTAAGGAGCTATGAAACATATACCAATTTTCAGCACCCAGGAGATATTACACTAAGCACTCAACATGTTTAAGGAAAAAAATCAAATATTAGAATTCCACTACATGACAATTATTAAAATGTGAATAAATTTACTCACAGATTGATCAACAATAGGTATAAGTGACTGCAGCACCTTGGCCACATTAAACTTGATGTTGGGTACCCTGTGTAATGCAATTTTTAGTCTCATAATTCAAGTCAAAGAACTTCAAATCAGGCTTCAGAATGCACCAGCATTACCTATCTTTTGAAGCATTAATAACCACAGGTAGTAGTTTTGAACAAGTAATATCTGAGCCCATAACAGGGGCAAGTAGAGAAATTGCATGTAGAATGGTCATCCGATACAGATAATGAGGGTTGTTAATCATGTCCAAAACCTGTCAACAGATTTCCCAAAAAACAGAGACATCATATTGAGAACCAACTTCTTTAGATATCTACTTTTGTTTACTCATTTAGAATTAAAAAAAAAAAAAAAGGAATTAAATTTTTGTTAATATAAGTAGACTGACCTGTGGAACTATGTGCTGCATTGCCCAATCTGGTCCAAATTCTTCTGCCAGACGCTTCACATTATTAGCAGCAGCATCACGAATGGAATAGACCTACAATGGATGCCAATGAATGTTAGCAAAATTTATTTGTAATATTACAATATTCTCAGTATCACCTCTTAAAGGTAGACTTGTAACACAAACAAAACTTAAAGCAAACAGAACAGCTTTTAAATATTGGTTTTTTCTCCTATTCCACCAGAAACCATTGATTATAACATAAAATCAGAAGACCAACATTCAATAGTGGATTCTCAAATATAAAGGGAGATTTTCCAATACTGACATTGACATCTATTTCATTATGATACAAACTAGGATAGAACCATAAAGAACATAAATTTCATTGATTTTTGCACCATAACAAAGTTCTTTGCACCTTATCTTTTAACCATTGCATGCAGAGTGCACCAAGTTTGTCATCGAAAAAGCCAACACCCAACTGACTTGCCAATAAAGGTATGTATTCTATTATTGCAAGCCGAACCCTCCAGTGCCTATCCTCTGCAAGTTCCACAATTGCTGGCAATAGGGACTGGGACAGGAGATCAATTCCAATCACCTGCAATGACAGGTACATTATCTAAGCTGCATTTGAATATATGAGATATACTCACTAACATGCTCATAATAAGTAGTTCTTCCAAGCACTGCACCAAAACAAATTATTAAAATAACAAGATGGGAAATAAGGAAATTGCAGGAAATAACCGCCAGTCAAATATTACTAAAACCAATGACAACATTGTCACACCAGATTAGCTCAAGTGGTAAGGGTAGTATGGAGTTTCATTAAAGATCCTAGATTTCACAGCCTCAGTGCTCTCATTTGTACCAAAAAATTAATTCATAACACATCATTAAATACAAACCTCAGAGATTCATGTTAGCTGAAAAGGAACTTCCTTAATGCATTAGCAACAAGAAATTTAACATTGTTATTTAAGAGGACTGACCGAGTATGGTGGAATTTCCACCACACTCATTTTAGATTCACAAATTGACATGTATACATGCAAGAAGATGCATACACGTTAGGTAATGGCCTTATTTAGTCAATCAATCTACAAGGCTTGTTTATTTTATACATTTTAAACCTTCAAAAGTAACTGACATTTTGACAACTTGAATCCCTCAAACAATAATAAGGTTTCCAGCCTACAACTTTCACCAATTGCTGCATTATAGTCAGACATGTAACTTCATAGTTATTGTGGCCAGATGGAAGAGTCAGTATTTGGTGTTTTATCCAGCAACTAAAATAAAACCAAAGTCTCAAACTTTATTTGGAAAATGAGGAGAGTCTGAGAACGATTTAGCAGTTAGTCCAGTCAAAGTTTTCCTTTAACTTACCAGTCAAACATAGGAAATATAAAAACCATTTAGTCCACAATCAGATCCAAGCTAAAAGTTGGATAAAAACTGTTCAACGATATCACCAAAAGATGGGGATGTTTTGAGAATGGAAATGATAAAAAAATGTAATTATTGTTCTTAATACATCTTAAAAATAATAACCTGGTTGACTTGATCAAGCTTGCTAATGATATTCAGTCGGACATCTGGAAATTCATCTTTCAAAAGAGAAAGAAATATCGGAAGCAATTGCTCTATGGTAGCATCCTACAACCATCAAAGGAGATTACGTTATATGCAAACAAAAAATTAAAAAAAAATGTTTGCAACGTATATAGAGTGAATGCAATTTCAATTATAATATGAGACCCAACAATAAAAAACCAGCAAGACATCTAAATTTTCAACACAAAATAATAATTTTTCAAACTTGCCCAGACGACACGAAATAATAATTTTTTGACTTTGTTCATGGAAAGAATAAAGAGCCTATCTCCCACATAAATCTGAATAGAGCTTGTTATTCAGAAAACACCAAGCAGTCAGAAATTTTTTTTTTTGCTAATTAGGTACCCAGGCACACAGGTAAGAAACACTAAAGAGCTCCTCAGTCAAAGCAATTGACAAATCCACATTACACTAACTTATATCATGCAGCTAACATAAGGATGGCTGACCAGAAAATGTGGTCAGAAGAGAAGATGATCATTTATTCAACAAATTAAACAGTTACCCATACCAAAAAGCATCATGTAACCCCTGCCACTTCCAGACAAACAAATGAATTTCATTGAAGGTGGACTATCCAAGCACAAGAGAAGAGAGAGCGGTTACCTTCCCCAAAATGGGTGCCATTCCCATTATAACTGAAGCTAGAGCAGATCGAACATGCTGGGATGAATCCGTCGATAGCTCCTACAGTGGTTAACAATAACTAATTTAGACAGGACATCGCTATAGTGTGGAAACTAGATTACTGCTACAAACGAAAAAAAAACTTGGGTGAAGGCAAAGAATTCCATAAGCACTTTCACCTTGACACAAGGAAGAATATGCTGAATTGTTAATTCTGGATTCAGAATTCGGCAAAACTTAGTTACTTTTCCAGCAGCAGCTATCCGTACTTCAGCTTCATTATCACGAAGTAGGCGAACATATGCAGGTACTAGGTCCGACCTATACATGTAAACCTTACAATATCACTCAATGATAATTGATAAGCCCATCACCAAAAAGGCATTGTTCAAAGTAAATGTAAGAGTGTAACAGAAACCATCAAGCATGATAATTGATAAATGACCTAAGCCAATTGCATGGATTTCCAATTAAAAAGAGATGAACCAAGCAAATTCATCAATACAGATCAGGGGGAACAGGAAGAAGGCAAAATGGAGGGAAACAAGTATAATAATAGAAGTCAGGAAAGAAAAAAATACATAACGGTTTATGCCACATGATTATAGAGATTACCTAGTAGGCTCGGGACCAACGGCTTCACACAGCTCATACAATTGATTTGCAACCATGTAACGGACACGCCAAGACTTATCCTAGAAGACCAAGTAATACCATTTCAAAAAGAAAAAAATCAATCATAAATATAAATTACCGAACTGAAGAATGGGGATAGAGAGAAAAAGGAAAAAGGTAAAATGAATTAAAAGAATAATAATTTCTATTTCATTTCACTTTACTTCTTGAAGCAAGAATAGCTAAATATTTTGCCTTAAAATTAACTAGAAGCCATGCAACAATATTTGCATCAAACACAAATAGCAGATATATTCAAAGAAATGAACAGTAAAAACAAAATTTGTGAAGAATAAAACATTTATAACCTTAGAGGTTAACTGATTTCTAGTAGGGTGAATTAAACCATCAGTTTCAAGAATTTGGTTAAAAACTAAAGATATGAGACATCCCAATTAACAGTATAACACAGAATGAAGACCCTCATAACAAAATGGAGAATATGCTGTTTGAGGTGGAATCACAAAGAGTGATTATCCATTTCATTAAAAATATGCTGGAACATTTTATGGATGCAATAATGGTACTGTGCCAGCAAGATGGCCAAAAACTTTATCCAGCAATGTCATTTATTCAGAAGAACAGTGGCTAAGTTTCATCTTCAACCTTAGAGCAGAAGGGTGAAAGAAATCCTCAACCTCTTCAATGGCTAGTTTCAGATATAAGGGGAAAAAGGACTTTCATAAGTTTTCTAGTGATGTAAAGAGCTTAAATAACTTATGCTGAAATTGTAGTACTAAAGCAGAACAAGACAATACAAAGTTCAACTCAATCACCTCAGAAAGATTGTTGGGGGGGGGGGGGGGGGAGGTGACAAAATAAGAATGGAGCAATTTTAGAGATCCTAACATATTTGTAACATAATATTCATCACACATGGTCTACCTGGGAGAAATTAACTATTACAGGGAGAATATGTGCCACACAATCTTGGGGTTCCAACAACTTTCCAAGAGCTGCACAACCCTCAACAGCCAATAATCGGACAGAATCTTGATCTGCAGGGATGATAAATTGAAGAAAATAGGCTTTTCAACCCTACCATAAAGTATGAACTTGACAATAATACTGGAAAACTAAATATGAAAAACAAAATGCATAAGTATGAATAAACAACCATAGACAAGGGATTCGTTTACCTTTTCATTTATAAAAATAAGGTTAAAACCTAAAGTAGATCATTGACCTTAGTTATGCTTTACACATGAAACACTGGATAAATTTCACAGATTCTTTGATATAGTAGTTTGTAAAGATTGGAGGAGAAAAAAAGGTTATGGATGCACATGCTGGTAAAACTGCTTAAATATACTACGATCTAATTTGTTGGGTGACTATCCATGACTCTTGCTAATAAGCAACAAACTATGAATTTATCGGATAAAGGCGATGGAAGTTGCAAATTACAAAACGCACTCTTTTATTTTTGAATACCAAAAGAAATGCAACTTCCCGTAGAAGTAGAAAAGAGAAGACCACTAGCACTACCTCGATCCCAGTCCCTCTTCCTTCCTACAAGTTTAAACCTAAAACCATTCCCTCTAAAAGAGACAAAAACACCATAAGGCTTCTAAACTCTCCCCTCATTATTTCTGACCAGGATTGTTTAAATCAAATCACTTATCCTGCACTTTTGTCCGTTTAATATATTTTAAAGCATATATTCGACAATGATTTATTAGCAAAACAAGTGATGAGAATTTGAATCAAAAAGATAATTAGGTAATCTACATACCGTCCTGCGTCAAATCATCAAATATAGACATGATATCCACCTTCAAATGAGGTGCTTCTACAGAAGCAGCAAATTTTCCAAGATTTGTTGCTGCAGATCTCCTAACCATGGGCATGTCATCTTGGCAAAGTTGACCATATATAGTTCTTAGTTCAGTTTTTAATGCATCTGGGGCAGTTGGGTATGCAATATGAAACAAGCCACATGAGGAAACTCGAGCTGCAAACCACTCACCAGAAGCCAATCTCTGGATGTTGGAGACAATCACATTCAAAGAAACAACGGTCATTCTATTTGCAGTGAGGTAAAGCTAAATCAAATATAATTAGGAGTATAATTAAAAATGAATTTGAGCATATATTAAGGACAACGCCATGTCCTGATCACCAGGCCTAGGAATAATCATATTATATACAGTACCATAATCCAAATGACAACAAGGCGGAGCAGCAGAACATGCACGTCTGTAGGTTTATGGCAGACCAACATAATATTACTAATTTAGAAACACGAAACACATGATGAAGTGGTCTTTCATCAACTTTCTGGTTTATAGAGTTTTCATGCACTATTAGGGAATACCTTTCTTCCACTAACAATCGTTTCACCACACAAACTTTAAAGCCAAAACTGAACTCTATGTCAATATTTTGTCTTTTCACCACACACACATGATGTAGTTCCTTGTTGCAATATTTTATTTTATCTTATCTTTCCTAAGAAATAGAAAAGAAGATGAAATACTAATCATGCATCCACATTCAAGTCATTCAGCTTCCTAATTTCTATCTCAATAAGCATGCAAAACTATTTAAATGTTATATAATAATACATTTTATGTGAGGAAAACGAAAACAAAAAGCAGAAGCCAACCTTCACTAATGGAATAAAGGACTCAACCAAGTCCTGCTCCCTCAACTGGGCACCAATTCTACACAACGACTCCACAGCCTTGTCCCTCACACAGGTTTCCTCAACAGTGCAAAGAGTCTCCAACGGAGGTAGCAAAACATTAGCATATTCCACACCTCCAACATAAGGAATAAAAACTCCCAATTCTTCGGCCATGGCAAGGAGAACTTCATCATCATCATCATTGTTCTCGCTAAGAAATGGAATCAATTCCTTTCGTGTCCTTTCTTCCCCAAGAGCACGTGCAATCGTAGAAAGCCTACGGATCGAGTTCAAACGAAGCTGGATATCTTCATTCTTGAGCTCATCGATCAACACCGCAATGGGATACAAAGGCTCATCAATCATTGCCATGTTAACTCACAATACCTAACACCTGGAAACATGCCAATAAACTAAAATTAATTATTTAATTATATTTCAGAAATCAAAATTCTGAAAAAGGAGAGATCAAAGTTAAGAAACACGAACAACTATTTAACCTAAGTTAATCTTATAACTTTTCCTTCATTTTCTAAGTAACCAAACAGGGGGATCAGGAAGGGAGAGATACTAACCACGCATTAATTGCAATAAATTTGGATTATAAGAAACCTTAAAATAGCTTTAAAAAAAAGTGATCCAATCAAATAACAATTCGAAAAAGACATGAAAAATCTTTGGAACTTATATCGGCTGAAAACGACCATCGATGAGATCTATAATTCGGAGAATAAAATTTTCCTACAGTGAAAAAGGAAAAACTGGAGTACCTTTCGCCGGTTTCAGTCAATTGGTGGTCTGTTCGAAACTCGATCTTATCTTTAGGCGGAGAAAGAGAGAGACAAAGATCGATATATATTTGTCAAAATTTGTTTCCCTTTTGTTTTTGTTTTTGTTTTTTTTTTTAATGTTTTTGTGATTGAATTTCTGTAAAATTAACTCGATTCTCGACGGAAGAGGGTCTCCTTTTTTACCGCAAGCTTTTTACTTTTATCTTTTTTTTTTTTTTTTTACTGACTCACCGATAAATAGTAACTATTTCAGTGTTTTACGATGGGAATTTCGAATCATTTATTTGCCGAGCACAGCCCGTCCCAGTTTGTTTTGTTTTTCTTTTCGCTTTTAATCGGATATTTATTTATTTATCTAAACGAAGAACCACAAAATTAAAATCAAACCTTTGATAAAAACTTTATATTATAAACACTATACATTTTTTATTTGTAAGGCAGAAAGTCAGAACCAGCTTTTTAAATAGGAAATATATATTTAATTATTTATTATTGAGTCAAATACTCATATGCATACATTTTAAATTTTTGTATTTAAGTTTCACACTAAAGTGAATATTTGTAATAAGAATTTTGCTAAACATTGTTTTTAAGACACCTTTTAAAAATTAAAAAAAAAAAGGACACTTTTTAAAATTATTATATAAAATAATATTTCTTAATCATTTAAAATTAATTATATTAATTACTAATTATTATATTTAGTACAAATGTATATAAACTAAAAAAAAAAGTTTTCTTAGAAAATAATATAATGATAGAGTTTTAATATTCGAAAGAAAAAAAATGATTTAATGATGAAAAAATGATTTTGCAGATTAACAAATTTGAAATCTAAAAGAAGCCAATAATGCTAGGCTGCATCACAACAACAAGAGCATCCTCCCTATAATAAAACAAATCACCTTTTTTTTTTTTTTTTCTCACATACTTAGTAATAAAATTATACAAATTTTATTACTATTATATTTTAAATAACCATCTTTGTGTTCATTGTAGTTATATATCTTTTTAAAGTTTTTAAATTTTTAAAAATGTTGTTGATTTTGATATTACAAATAAAATTATATAGATTATGAAATTATTTTATGTTATATTGATGGTTAAATTTCATGAAATTATTAAGAAGGCTCTCCATCAATCTTACACAAGCCCAAACCAATAACATGAAAGCGTGTTGTTTGCATGAATCCCTGTGATTAAGCACCCAGATTATGCTACTTTTTTTCTTTTTTTTTTGTATTTGGAATTGAGAAATTTCAAATTTTAATAGTAAATTAATTTTTTAAACAATTCAATTGAATATATTATTTTTTATAAAGTTACAAATATAAAAAATTATAATAATAATTAAATATTGCATTCATATAAAAGATCATTACATTGAATTATACAAACAAATAATATTCATCATAAAATTCGATTAAATTTACACATTATATATGAGAATTGAATTTGAGACTTCAAGATTTCAAATTTTAGTACTTTTTAATTAAATTAAATAATTAAATACAAGAGAAGTATAATTGATAGTTATGCAAGATAGAAATGTTCATGCATCGAGTTGACTTAGTTGATGTTGTATAAAATTTTTTTGGTAAATTTAGAGCAATATAACTAACAGATCAGGTTTTTACATATTATTACTTGATGCAGCAGCTAGCAAATCATCATAATTCATATATATACTATAGTCATCATGTACATGTTACACAGGTTGCAATTTGGTTTTGGTTGGATTCAAGATTCTTACAAGAAGAAGCACAGATCATCAATGGCTTCTCCTCATGACTTTGTTCATTGTTGATGCTAAATTCTTGTATTTCCAATATCTCCACTCTGCGATTCGTCTTCTTCCTTATTTTGATGGCAATGTCTTGTGGGATAAATTTGCCATAAACGCTTACCCTGCACTGCTTCTTCTCTATCAAATGCGTATCGAACTCTACATTCACCATAAAGTAGATATATGCAGAAACACCAAAAGATTATGAAAAAACAAGCTGCAGTAAGCAAGTTTGATGGTGATGACGAGGATGAATATTTGATCTCACCGTGGATATCAAGAAGAGCTCTTCTTACTTTTCTATAACAGCCGTTGCAGTCAATATTGATCCTCATTACCATGCAGCAAAACTGCAGTGCATGTTTGCAGAGAAATTAATAAAAGTGGAGAGTTAGAACAAAAAACATGAAAAAGGATCAATGGAAGGTGGTGAAAAATGGAACTTGCCCTTTCTGTCATGAGGCCTGCAGCAGGCGTTTTCTCAAGAATCCAAACAATGGGGTGTTTGAACAACAGATGAAAAGTTGATGTTAAAAGGCAAAATGATGGGATTTTTTTTTAAATAATGGAATCTGATTCTGTTATGGGATATTGGTATAGCTTATTGCCTCTTAAATATATATTCTTGACCTCTTCGAGTTGTTGGCATATATACATAGTATCAGGTTTGCTAGAGGAGAAAGCATCCGTTTCGTAATTGCTTCTCAGCTAGGTTTATTCTCTTTCAAACAGGAAGGCATAACTTTAAATTTGTGTCTGTTCCAAGTCCAATTAAATAAAAAGAAAATTTAGGAATAAATCTTTCTTTATGTACGTATCCTTTCTGATCAACAATTCATTAGATGCTTATTCCGTTTATAATTCTTTTCATTTAAGCAGAATAATTTAACAAATTAATTATAAGCCCAAAATAACTATAGAATAGTTTAATGAGCTACCATGAGCTGTTAGGAATTTTGCTTTACATGGTTGCAATTTTTTTTTATTTTCATCCATAAACCTTAAAATTCAATTTTTTTTCATCCATATTCTTTTTAAAATGTTTCAAATTCATCTATTTCATCGATCATTATTAAAAATTTTAATATAATATGCTAAATAAACACTACACAAAATATAAATTTTAGTTCAAATAATCATTCACTTTCTTATTACATTCAAATGAAGATATATATATATATATATATATATGATGTGAAGTGACAAATTGTATCAAATTTTAATGACTATGTATTAAAAGAATAGATGAATTTAAAATATTTTTAAAAGATTGTGAATGAAAAAAAATTAAATTTATGAAACATGAATGAAAATGATTAATATTATACATTGATCATGAAAATAGGGTGTAATTTAGTTGTATAGCCATATAAATTGCTTACAATGAAATAGATGAATTTGAAATAGATTAAAGATAAATGTGGTTTAAGGTCATAAATTTTGTCAAATTTTAATAACTATTAATATAATAGATTAATTTAAAATATTTTTAAGAGATTGTAGATTAAAAAATGTTAAATTTATAAATAATAAATTAAAATGGGTGATAGTATACAAGCATCATGAAAATTCGGTGTAATTTACTTGCCTAGGCATATGTACTACTTATAATTAATTGCTCACTCTTTCTCCTAGTCACCTGCTTTATAGTTTATTAACTTCTTTTTTTAATCAAGTCAAATGGACTTAATTATTTTTCCCTTATTAGCATTTATTAGCAATATCACAGGAAGCATATTAGGAACAAAATTTATATGAAATTTTATAAGTATATAAAGTTTTTATTAAAAATGAATAAATAAAAAATTTAATTTAATAGATTGATGGAATTTAATGTAAAAATTAATAATATGTAAAAAAAATTAAAAAATTATTTATAATTAAAATTTAATCAATATTTATTTAACGATAAAAATTATGTCAATATTTTTATTAAAAATGACTATTTAATAAATATATCAAAATTTTTTCAAATTTTTTCAAATTTTGCATATATGATCTATGTGATGAGATTTTTCAATTTATTAATTTTGATTTTTAATTTTACTTTTGATTTATTTATTTTTAATAAAAACCTTTATAAAATTTACCTATAAAACTTCATGTAAATCTTTCCGTATATTAGAATCAACCCAACAAAATAAACCCTAATCATATTATCAAAAAAATAATACAATAAATAATGAAAAATGGAACCAAAAAAGAAAGAAATATTCCACCTATTGGATAAGGCTAGATCTGTTCAACGATCAAGCTATTCGTCTAAGTTTTGAAAGGGTTTGAATAAAAAATTAAAATTTATTAATGAGTTTAGATATAATTTTTATATCCATTTAAATTTTAGATTTGATTCTGAACAATAAATTTAAAGTTTGAATCTGACTCGACTTGATCTGAATTCACATATATATATAAAAGTAAATTAACATATATGTATATATATTTTATTTTTATATATATGTGAATTATATATAAATTAATTCACATATATATATTTTTAAACTTATTTGTTACTTTTATATAATTTTTATTTTTATTTTTACATATATAATTTTTATTTTTAATTTATAAATATATGTGAGTTAAATATAATCTTATTAAATTTAATCATATTTTTTTAATTTTTAATTATATAACTTAAGTTTAATGAGTTTATATAGAAATAATTTTTTAATTTAAATCAAATTTAAAAAAAAAATTTTAAACTCAAAATTTTAAACTAAATTAAATTTAAATAAATATATAAATTATTAATATCAAATATTATCTGACCCGACCTCTAAAACATATAAATAAAGCATGAGTTAAAGTCAGGTTTAAACAAAATATTAATGACCCACGTGCTTGCTCTGCAGAAGCCCCATCCAATTATTCAAGTTTTAATTTCTGCTCAGATCTTTTAAATTAATAAATGTTAAGCCATACTTGCCCAAATAAAATTTTTTTAAATAAAAACATTATTTTTATTTAATCTTAAGTTTTTTTTTTTTGCCTTCTCCATTATTAAGGTTTAAAACATAGTTATTTTTATTTAATCTTTAGCGTATTTCTAATATTTATATTATAATATTATATCTATTTAATTTTTATATAATATATGAATATAAAAAATAATACATATTATATGATTTTTTGATTTATGAACTCTTTTTGACTTTTTGATTTTCTCTTTTAATAGCAGTAACCAAATTTCAAAATAAAATATTTTTTAATACAAAAATCAAACTTAAAAAAAAATCTTTTTAATAAAAAAAAATCTAAAAGCAAAACTTTTCTAATATAAAAACCAAATTTCAAAAAGAAATCCAGATCTAATGCATTAAAAAAATAAAAATATAAAACAAAACCAAATTTGCTTTATTTATTCCTTTTTAAACCTCATTTATCATATCTTTTATTCTCTTATTTTTATTTCAAAATTAATTAAAAAATTAGTTAAAGGGTATAAAAAACCCCTAAACTATAATTTAAAATATCATACAAATTTTTATTTTTTTTATTGCCATCAATTAATCCTTTCAACATTTCTTTACATCTAATTAAACCTTCATTTTATATGATAATAATAAAATATATTAAAATTTACAGCATGATGTAATTAATATATATATAAATTAAATAAAATAATTTTTTTCTTTCTTTTCTTTATTTTCTGTACCCTTCTCTCTAATATTTCTTTAAAAGTTAAATTAATTATAGTTTGAGAGTTGATTGGTTATGGTTTTGTCATATGATTAGATTTCGTCCAATTAAAAGTTTGATTGATTAAAATAAAATATTAAAAATTTAAATGATTATTAAATTATAATTAATGAGATTTTGGACCTTTTAGCCAAAAATATTTTATAGAACATATATTCCTATAAGTTGTTGCAAACAGTACTTTCTTTTGAAGCCTTGTGCTCTTATTCATCTTTCCTCTCCTAGCAAATATATATGTTAATCTCTAAATACTCTGAACAGATTTCAGATCTAATCTCTGCCTTCCCTTTCGTTTTTTTTCTCTCATCAAGTTATCAATAACTTCCCATCTGTTCACGCTTCACACAAAGTTTCCCGGTTCCCAGCCATTGCCAATTAGTTGGAGAAGAAAAAAGAACATAGGTAAGATCTCAAAAGTGTTCAAGGCACGGATATGCTCTCTTCCTTCTCCTAATATTAAGCAAGTATGTTGAAGGGCATATATGGAGTAGTTTTCATCTTAATTTTTTTTATTTGAAAAAGGAAATTCGAGTCCAATTGGCACCAATTGCATTGAACTATTAAATACAAGCCTTGAAAACTCACCATCAATTCGTGAAATTGTATCAGCTACTCTTTTTTGGCATTTCGTACATCTCAAATTTGCTGCTAAAACCACTTCCTGGATGAAATTAATATATTATAAGAACATGTGTATGATTTAAAATGTATAAAATGTTACCGAGATTGACAAAGACAGAAGCCATTACCGGAGGCTTTGGTGAGGAGCAGATAGAAGGTGGAGAAGAAAGTAGCAGCCTGCACCGGCACTTCTGGACTCTACGTCCAGTGAGTTTTTCAGCCCAAGACGCAAGTGCCATCTTACTTTTCTCCTAAGCAGATGCCACTCTGTACTTGAGTTCATGGCCATAGGCTATATAGACGTGTCCAGCTTGAGGCCAATTGGACCATTTCGATAGAGAAATTCCATCTTTTCGAAAGTTGAGGGTAACAACAGAATGATGTAGATGAAGCATGTGATCGCATAATAAATTTTATATAAACCTGGACAGTGATAGGAGATCCCTCCAATACCTCTTTTAAGCTTTCCCTATATTCAAGCTCTCAACATTTATATTAATATGGAATTTCTGTTGGTTTTTAACAATTTCTATGAGAGCAAGACATAGCAGCCCCTTGCAATTTGCATCATTTATCAGACTTTCAGAGACTACCTGCTTTGAAAGCAATCTGTTCTTTTGCCATACAACTTTCACATCTTAAATATGGCAAAGTGTTTTATTCTTCTTTTTCTCTCTCACATTTTTATCATTTTCCCTTTCATTCCCTTTTCTGTGCTATTTTTTTTTTCTTTCTTTTAAGAGTGGGGACAGGATTTCATCCCAATATTCAGTGCCGATCATAAATAGGTGGCTGGTTACCACCAACGAACATTGTCGGCAAATAGACAATCAATTTTTTGAGTTAGTGCTAGATACACATATAGAATAAAAGCTTGAAAAAAAAAACCTTTGTTATGCAGCATAAAATGAAGCACGTGTTGATAATTGAATCCTAATCACTGTAATAAATTTTACCAATGGTTGTAGTTGATCATAAGTAATAGTATTATTTTCTTCCATTGTTGTTTTTTATTAGAAATAATTTCTTTCAGTTTTTACGCAGCTTAACACTTTTTATAATTTTTTTTTGTAAACACTTTATATAATTCTCATCATGCTATCCTCATGTCAATTACTAAAATTTCAAAACTTATTGTAAATTTTTTTTTTTTTTTACATAAATGCGTAAAAAAATCTAACATCAGAGTGATTTTAAGCAACAGTAGTTAAATTCACAAATGCAATAGGAGTTATACTAACAAAATAGTGAAATGAAAAACCACATATTAATTATATGAAGCTCAAAGAAAAAAAATTAAAAAATTAACGAAGCTATATGCTAGCATGATCGAATGATAAAAAACGAATAACATAAAATCGACTCAAATTCAAAAACAAACATCCTGTATCAACCTATAACTTCTCCGGTGAATGGCTGAAACTTTACTACTTTTTTCTTCATATTGGTTTCCTCTTGCTGACGCTTTTTCAAGGGTACATCAGTTGAGTGATCTTGTGACTGAATAGCATTAAAACTTGTCGGGCTTCAAGCAATAAATATAACAACATAAAAATAATATATCGTAATAAATCTATAGTCAATAAATCTATAGTAATGATAACAATTAACAATCAACAATACAAAAAAATAAAATACATTAAAATTTACATGAAAAATCTTTCAGTATAGAAAAAAAAATCACAGATTATTAAAAAAAATTCACTATCAAATAATAGATATACAAAGTTTTTCTTTAATTAAAACTAGAACTAATCAATAACTAGAGAGACAATTGAAAAAATCTCATCAAATTGGTAACTTAATAAATACATATTGGATTTGGTTTTAGAAAGCTTCAAACCCGATTTTCACTATTCAGAATGTAGAACTCTAAATTATAAATCTGCTAACAAAATTTCAGTTCAATCATACTACGGATCGACTTTCATTCAACCAACTCTCCCTTCTCCTTTTTCTCTCTATTTTTCTGGCTTCTTTTTTCTCCTTTCTTTTCTTGGTTTGAAGCGCCATTTGAGGGTGTAATCAATCAAATTCAAGCTGATACAATATTAAGCTCGAACTCGAGCTCGATTCAAAATTCAAGACTCGAAACTCGGCTCGAACTCGATCGAGTTTTATTTTTTTAACTTAAGCTCGATTTGAGATAGAAATCAAGCTACTCGAACTCGCTTGATTAACATATAAAAATAAGATAGATTCTTATATTCGATAAAAGTTCGATTATTTGTGCTTGAGTTCGAACTCAAGTTTGAGATATTTATTAATTAAAATAATAAAAATCTATTTAAATATAAAAACTCGATTAGGCTTACAAGCTACTTGAGTCGGATATAATAATGCTCGAACTCGGCTCGATCGATGAGTCAAGCTATTTGAGCTCGAGCTCAACTTGATAATAATTGAGTCGAATTCGAGTTTTATTCAAATCGAATCCGAATATCTTGCGAGTACTAATATATCATTTACACCCCTAGTGCCACCTTTTTTTTTCACCTTAAAATAGTCTCACCTCTTTTTATTAAGTAACTAGGCCTCTATGTAAAAAGAAAGACTAAGGCCTATGACCTTTAATTGGTACAAATCCAATTACATGAGATCAGATCCTATTTTCCTAACAGTCTCCCCCTTCAACTCCATTAGGAGGAGATTCATCACCATATCAGAGCCAATATTATGAGTTCAAGTCTCAATGGTATTGCTGGAGGGAGATTGTTGGCAGATCAAAGTTTGATCGTATCCATCAGTTCCATGTGCTCGAATGCCGGTATTAAAAAGTTCGACTTAGATGTAGTGAGTATATGATATTATGCAGAAGTGGAATATCTAAGTAGGCAATGTGTTGAATCAACCTAGAGCGTAAGCTTGATAGAGCATTGAGATAATTTAAGTGGCAAGGTTGAGTGCTGTGGCCTGGCCCAAAAGTGTACTGAAAATGTGAGGTTGCCTAGCCCAAAAAAAGTGTTGATAGAACTTACTTGCATGGGAGAACCGATAAGACTTGATCAAAACTCACAAGTGAACATGAGAGAGTGTTGGGATATGATTTACATATCAGTAAAAAATCTCATATTATTAAGAAATCTGAATGAGATGTCTTATAAATGCACCAAGGACCCAAGAACTTAATAGCTTAAGCTTTTGAGCTTTAAGTGATGTCTAACATGTATATATGAACTCTTTGATGTACTCTTATAACTCCTGACTTATCTCCCAAAAGAACCAACCACAACTCTTCCGGATTCGTATAGTGATCGCTTTAAATTTGATTATTTCATCCTCGACTGGTTTTTTCAGAACTTAGAGCCTTTTTCTCTACTTTTTTGGGTGGTTCATAATCCAATGAAGGAGCAAAATCAACTTCAAAATCATCAAAGATATGACGGCTAAAGACGGTTTTGCTTCAAGAATATCAATAAAAAACTTCTTGTATTGATGCATAACCATGATTGTATCTCCGGTAGTCAAGCAACAAAAATCTCTCAAAGTTTTTTCCAACACTGCTTTAGGGTCGGCAAGTAGTACCAAATCCTTGGTATGTGGTTGGCGCTTCAGGAAGGTTCCTTTCTCTAGAAAAGTGCTCTTTAATGGTTACCAAATCACCTTCCATTAGCTCCATGCATTCCATCATCCAAGTTGGTAACAGCACAAATCCCTCCTCGTAAATCAACTCAAGAGCTCCACAATGAGAAGTTTTGCCTGTTAAAGGACTGCATAGCTCGAAAAGCCATGGATACTCCACACCTTTATCTACAAGAAAGTGAAGAGTGGAAGCGGGCATTAGAATTCTTTTGCCAACGATAAGAAGACCGATAAGTATGTTGGAAAGAACCACTAACATCGATGGCTGCAGCCATATCAGACCACTCCATTGACAAGAAATTAAAAGAAGGGATGATCGAAGGAGATCAAGGGAAAAGCTTCTAAAATGTTAGTACTAACAATATAATATTATCTTCGACATTATGGAGATTAAAAGTGAAGGAAGCAATGGCAATCTCGAGTGATATAAATATATAGGTGAAGGGATTGAAGGGGGAATCCTTGTAGGATTTCGAGTTTGAGTATTCCTTTCCACGTGTTATTAGGATTTAGGAACCAAAGGCGGCTTTGCATGACATCCTTAATCGAGTCAAACATTGCACAAAGTTTGAAAATTTACATCTTAAGTAATTAGCCACTGAACCCTAGTTGGCAGCTTTGCACTCTCTTTCTCACTTTGCCTTCACACCCATTACTGTTATGCTGCTGCTTTTCGTCTCCATTCTTCGCACTGCCCTTTCTCAGGACCCTATTACCCCAGGTCCAATCATAGCTGACCGCAGCCCTCGCCTGGTGGCCTTGACGCCATGTGGACCATTTGTGCAGGGCACGGCTCATAGATCCGCATAGTCTTGCTGTAACAACCAACAACCTCAATTAACTCTACGGCCTGCAACCTGGTTGTCTTTGCCTTTTGCTTAATGAACCTTGAGTGCTTTTCCTATTAACAGGACACTAGCTCTGCAGTTACATGTTCTTTGCAAGACCCAATAAGCCAACCCTTCTGCTTGCCCAAGTAACTTTCAGATATTCTGAATTGACTGCATTACATTCAGATATTTGGCTAATTAATAATATTGCATTCTTTTCTTTAAGGGGGCCTTCCCCTCCTGGTTCATCAGATTCTCAGGTTTCCCTAGAGGCAAAGAACAACTCTGCTGTTACTGGTAATCAAACATTTTTCACATATCTTCTGAATCGTTTATGCCTACGTAAATCCACGTTATATATATCCCTTCCTTATTTCAACTTTTAATGCGAAAGTTATTAAGTAGTAATAGTTTTGCTCTGTTTCCCTCCAGCTTCCTCCATGCTGAATCTAATCGTTACAGTGGCACCAAGACCATGCATCATGGGATGAGAGTTTGGCTGGAGCAATGCTAGAAGATTGAAGACGCAATGTCTCTTAGCAATGTTGTCTGTTGCTGCAATTCTGTTTTTGAAGACTGGCACTGCAATATTGAGTCTGGTTAATAAAATGTTATTTATTGGGTTTCTTTATGATTTTTGGATGTTGCTTCTTAATCTTATTTGATGTTGGAGACATTCTGGATCAGCTATACTGTGATTTTGGTTTACCTATGATTTGTCTTCTTTGGATATTAACACCCTCTATATCCATGTAGAATGTAATCAAACAAACAATATTTATCTATTTTGGAATGACATATATATGTGTATATAGAGGCGGGCGCAAGGGTGCTTTGATCCAACTATAACAGAATCATTATCAAATTCAGTGACTTAATCTTTAATACTAATTAAACCATGATCTTCCAAAAAATCAATTCAACGCTGAATTCAACTGTCATGCCCTATCCATCTTACTCATGCCCTACCTATCTTTCTCATGCATCCTGTATCATTAAGTCATTTGAGGAAAATAAAAAATGAAAATGAAAAAGTGTTATCTACATTTAAAGGACAATGTGCATACCATCATAATTTCCAAACAAACCACTCTTGTGACTCTTTGTTCTACATTTTGTTGTTTTTATCTATATCACACTGCATCAAAATCCTTAATCCAGGTATTAAGGGTATTACTGAGTAGCAATTCTTATATAATGAAATATATAGATGATTTTATAAATGCTCTGCAATAATCAGAAGAGCTATAGGGGGAAGCAGTTGGGGAGAGAAGGGAAGTGGGAAAAAGTCTTCTGGCTAGCACATTTGGAGCATCAGAGACAGACAAACTAAAGTTGTTTCAAATTTGATCAGAAACCTTTATGTTTATAGAAAAAAGATTACTATGCCCCCAAACAAGTCTATTACCCAGGAAATATCACTTCAAAACCAACTGTGACCTCTTTGACCTTTAATGTATGCCGACTATCAAATATTTGTAACATCATCTCAAAATCATTAAGATACAATATTTGCTAAGATAAATTAAATACATTAGCTTACAAATCAAGGAAAAAATCTTAAATGTAAGTGATTTGTTTATCAACCCAGATTTAAAGACCTATTATGTTCATTTTATAGCAACTACTCCAAACTGGGTGCAACTTCAGTAGGGTTTGATTCAAATACATCTGAATTAGAGGCTTCGGGTTCTTCTAAAAGCGCTTGAGATTGGATAGACTCTTTGTATGCAGGAGTCTCCTTAAAATCTGTTGCCCCTTCGTTGTAAGTAGTCACAGCAATCCCACATGCAATTAACTGATAAAATAGAATGCAAGACCACAGATTGAAGTATCATCAAATAGTGCCTTTTCAAAGCAAATTTGTATACAAACAAGAAAACAAGTGGAATATTTCACATGTTCCATCAGGTTAGAAATTTCCAGCATCATTATAAAAAAATAGGATTCTTATTGTCATTCATTATATGACATGAAAGCTATTCAGCAATCACAAGCTAACAAGCAAGGAAATGGATATAGATTGGCCGTCTAAATTCTCACATTATTTTCAGAAGGAGCTTCTGAATAGATAACTAGTAAAAACCTTTAGCCGAATTTTTTTTCCACATAATTGTCTAGACTTTAATGCTCCGAAGTTTTTCAACCATATGAAAGAGACCTTTCTCAACCCATTGTATTCAAAGAAACATATAATTTGATCTACAACAGGTGATGAGTCAGATACTTAGATCCATCATACACCCAACTTATCAAACTATCTTTCTAGTAATCCAGTAAAGAGTCTACATATAGTCCACATCAATCATGACAGAGTGCCTCATCCAATTAGACGTGGTACGGGAAAGAGAAGGCAAGCGTGTAAGGTTAGAAAATTGGCATACAACTTTCAACCTTCAGCAATTTATGGTCAATAAGATCAGATCTCAATTGTGTCAAGCACTTTGAGTTACATCAATATTTCTTATAGCATGTGCCAAAGAAATTACATAGAAACTATAAGGACTACCAATTACCATTCTACTAAAGGATGTAACATTCTACAAAATTCCCATGCAAGCCAGATAGGGGCAGGGTCATTTGTTTCCTTCATGGTGTGTATGCTAATGTAAAATTTTAGACCATAAACACAGTATGAATTCCATGTTTCACCAAATTTAGGAACCACATCTTCACTTTTGATAGGCACAAAATCAGGGCTCTCAAGTCCGGATGCTCCATGCTGTCTACCTTCCCCAACATCATAAATTTGAGAAAAGAAAATCACAAAATTTGTTCGGGCTACCTTGTTGTAACTACCAAATTCAATCAAAATTTCATATTAGGCTCCCATAATCTCCAAATTTCAATGGTTGCTTACTTAATGTTTATCTGAACTGTTTTCTTCATTCCCCTATTACCCTCCTAGAGGTGAATACTTAGTAAGAGGGAGTAATCCACAAAAACCAAACAACTCAAGTATGAACCATTCTTTGTCATTCATTTTCCCTGTAACTTCACCATGGAGCTATCAAATTCTAACACAAACATAAATTTTTTTGGCACATCACTCAGCTCATAAATTCTTCCAGATTTCCAAAGTCAAGTTTTAACTATTTGGATGTCCTCTCAAATATAATAAAGGCCGAAATTTTTATTGAAACCAACTAATTCTAATCTTTCATGGGCTTATATAAATTCAAATATCGATCATTTCAGGCATCGTCATAACAAAATCGAACAATAAAAAATAAATAAATAAAAAGGCAGCTTTGAGAGATACCGCGAAAACGATGCCAAAAGCCCACAAATACTGAACAAGGAAACCAAGAACATCCCACTGTGGACCTTCCCACAAATCCGGCTGAAGACCCGGAAGCTCTGGAAACGGCTTCCCATCAGCCGAGACTTCAGACGAACTCCCACCAACGTTATCCAAGCCAACCCTTAGAATAACATTTTGTTCTTCAATCTCCGCCACCCATTGTTGCTCCTGTTCCTCATCTTGTTCTTTCGTCGTGAGAGTGGTCCTCCGGTTCTTGCTGTCGAAGCGTCCGGTTCGGGACGAGAACTTTTTGGCTGCGGAGGTTAAGTGGAGGGTTCTGGGGGAGATAGGGAAGAGGACGTGGTGGCGAGGAGGGAGTTGGGTGTATAAGTGTTTGGTGGCGTTGTCGCATAGGATTCGCACTCCATTTCCACTAGTAGTAGTAGTACTACTACTACTACAATTTGTGATGGTTATGGATAGCGCCATTTCAGTGGAGGAGAGTGGCGAGCAGGATGAGAATGTTGGTGCTATGATTTTATTTTATGATTACATTTTAGTAATACTAATTTTAAAAAAATTAACATTTTACATGGGTAAAATTTAATCCATGGGCTCCTCGCAATCTGGATCGGCCCAAGTATTTATTTTTTATTTTTGTTATTTGAAGATGCAAATAATTGAATCTTGATCATTTAAAGTGAGAGCTTAGGCACTCTATCTATTATCATAATAAATTACTGTTAACCGGCTCAAATATTTATATCTCTATAGATTAAAATCATCTTAGTAATATTTTAGTTTAACACTAAAAAAGTTTTTTAAAGCCCACTGCTTTTTATTTTTTATTTTTTATTATTATAAAAAATAACAATCTATCTTTGACAATCTTATTTAAAGGTGTTTATTTAATCTATTTGGTTAATTTCTAATGAAATTATTTAAAATTTAATTAATTAAATTGTGTTATTTTATTTCGTTAATTGAACTGAATATGTTAATTTTAAAAACTAATCGATTGAATTAAATTCAATCAGTTTGATTATTTTTTAATTAACAGAATAATAAATATATTTAAATTAAATTATATTTTAAATATTTAATTTTTTATATTTGAAACAAATTAAATAACATCATCTAATAATATATTTAAATATAAAAGTAAATTAAAAACTCTGATAATTTTTCAAATAAAATAATTTATTTCATGTATTTTTAATTTTCTATTTACATTTTATTATATTTTTATTAAAATTTTGATTAATTCAATTTTTGAATCGAATTAATTAAAAATTAAAATTTTTTAAAATTATTTTTAATAATCAATTAAAATTAATTTAATAACTAATCAATTAATCAAATTAAATTTATTCGTTTAATTAATTCAATTAAAATTTAATTTTCAACATCCCTAATCTTACTCAATAATATGTATGTTTATTTTTTGTAACCAATAATTTTTTTTTTTTAAATACTCCATCTAACTAAAAGCCCTATGGAGACACTTCACCACATGGATTTAAAGATTGGGCTTATCTAACCGAACTCTCAAATGATGCTTAAGACTTAAAGTTATGAGGCCCAAGACTTTTTTCCTGTACATATACGGCCCACTTGCCTCAGGGCTAATATTATATTAGTTGTGGTGACAACTGTTGAATCAATTTTTTTTAAATAATGTATAAAATTATAAATTTTTAAAATTTAAATCAAACTTTTATAGAATTGATTTAAACAGAATTATATAGTTTGGTTCAATTCATTTATTTTTAAATTTTTAAATTTAAATTTTTATATATTATTTTAATATGATTTTTAATAATTTAAATATATTTAGGTATAAAATAATTGTTTTATTTTATAATAATTTAAAATAGATATAAAAGCTAATAAAAATATATAATTCGATTCAATTTTTTTTATTTTTTACTTCTTAATTCAAAATTTGATTCGAATATAATATGTGCATATATATATATATTTAATATTCGATTTTAATCTAAACTGAATAAAACAAATTCCAAATCAATCAAATACTACAATTTCGAATCAATTTTTTATTTTTTTAATTTTTTTCTCACACGTAATATATTGGATTACACATAATATATTGGATTGAAAATTCAAATAGCAAAAGAGAGCTAAGAAATTAAGAAGATTGGTAAAATTATAATCTCATTCGTTTGAACAAGTCTTTTTTTCTTTTTTTTTTTATGCTACATGAGTGCACATAGAATGCAATTACAGAAAAGTTTTTCAACATAGATATTATGTGGAAATTTGATTTTGTTTTCCTTTTTGCCCTTTTTGGGCATTAATTTAGGCAATTGGGAATATAGCATAAATAGTCAAATTTAGTTTGCATATTAAAAAATAACAAAGAAATTGGTACAAGTTAGAGAACATATAATCTATTATTATTATTATTATTATTATTATTATTATTACTATAATAAAATTAATTAATTATAATTTAATATTATATAAAATTTATGTAAGACTCATATTTTTAAATGATAAATTCATATATAATCAATACACCCTTATATAAAAGTATCTCTTAGGGGATCTTCTCTTGCCATATGTACTTTTTTTTGGGTTCTTTTACAATGTTTTGCCATTTTAGTGAGACCAAGTGGGATATTTTAGATGAAAATCGAATTATTGTTTATAAAAGCATAGTTTTGCAGTGCATAATTTGTGTCTTTTTTAGAAGTATTTTGTTTTGTATGTTATTTGAATGAAGTTGTCATTTTGTTCTTGTTAGATTTTTTTTTTGCCTCAAGGTTTTTTTAAGCTCTTTGGATATTAAATTTTCAGGTTAGTATGAATTGTAATATGTATTATTTTTTTATTTATTGTGTATTCTGGTTTGTTAGGTTGTATGTTTTGTTTGTTTTTTGACATTTAATATTTAATATTTGCCTATCAATTGATTGATCTGAAGTTAAAGCTTTTTTTATTATTATTAAGCTTTATATTGTATTATATTTGATTGATAGACAAACTTAAATTATGTGATAAGAAAAGATATTGAATAGATGTACTTTTAAGGCAAAAGAAAGTATAAAAAGAAACAATTAAGTAATTGAATAGTAGGAAAGGGGATTTACGAGTCAAAAACAAAAATAAAAAAAATTCTCACATTTATAGTTAAAAAAGTAAGAAGTGCACCACCTATAGTTTGTTGACTAGCAGTAGCCTTTTCGAACTCCATATACAGTTTCGAAAAATGAAAAAACAAATAAAATTGTTTACAAATATTTGTTATCATAGATCACGTAAAAAAAATCCCCATGATTCAAACTTAGGTAATGAACAGCATACAATATGACAGATCATGAAGTTACTAATTGTTAAATCATTAGCTTAAAGTAATAGAGAATGGAAATAGTTTTTTGTTATGTAATGTTGACCATCATGATGGTTGTACTTGGAGTTTGAAATATATACTTCTGTTAAGTTACCAAATGTGAAAGAAGATTGCTAAATTGTGCGGTTTTTAGAAAGATGCTTAGAAAATTTGAAGTTGAGGCTTTTTTATTATTATTAAGCTGTATATTTTGTTATATTTGAGTAATAGACAAACTTAGATTATGTGATAGGAAAGGATATTAAATAAAAGTACTTTTAAAGCAAAAAGAAGTATGAAAATAAACAATTAAGTAATTGGGTTAATTAGCAGGGAAGGGGATTTATGAGTTAAAGATAAAAATAAAAAAAAAATCTCACATTTGTAGTTGAAAAAGTAAAAGGTGCACCACTTATAGTTTTTTTACTAGCAGTAGCCCTTTTGAACTCTATATGCAGTTTTTAGAGGGTGAGAAAACAAACAAAATTATTTACAAATATTTGTTATCATGGATCACATAAAAAAGATATTCTCGTGATTAAAAACTTAGGTAATGTATAGCATGTAGTATGACAGATCAGGAAGTTACTAATTGTTAAATCATTAGCTTAAGTGATGGAAAAGGAAAATAGTTTTTTGTTATGTAATGTTAACGATCATGATGGTTGTATTTCAAATTTGAAATATATACTTCTATTAAGTTACCAAATGTGAAACAAGATGGCTGAGCTGTGCATTTTGTAAAATGATGCTTAGAAACAATGGTGTGATCGTCGACACAATCCCATGCTACTAGATCTTTGGTCAATTACTCTTTTTTACATAAAGCTCTTAACCTTATATTAACTACAATATTCTTTTTCTTTTATTTTTAAGCTACAAGGATTGTTGTTTTTGTCCTATCTAACTAGCAGGGGTTCTTGCAGTTCTAACTGTCATTTTTTCTTTACTTCTTTCATGTTTTTCAAAATTAAAAAAACCAAAAGTAATGCAGTTAAAACTTTTTCCTTTCTGAGTTTAAAAAATTTCACTCAATCTTATTATTTAAAGCCAAATTATGAATTATGAATTACAAATGGAAAGGCAACTGTGTATAGTTTTTTCGCTTTGTTAGGTGACATATAAGATTTATAAAAAATGTTTTTTTTTTACTTATATTAAACTTTTATACTTATAAGATTTACATTCAATTAAGTATTGGAGATTATGTAATAGGAAAAGATATTGAATATAAGTATTTTCAAGGTAAAAAGAAATATGAAATCAAACAAGTGATTGGATGAATAAGTAAGGAAGGGGATGTAGAAGTTAAAAATAAATTTGAAAACAAAAACAGAAATCTTACATTTGCAATTATATAGAGCTCTTTTTTGCATATAAGGTTTACATAAAAAAATAATATTCAGTAGTTTTATATAAGTACATAGGAAACAAAGTATGTATAAACTCTATCCAATAGTTTTATATGTAAATCTACTTGATTAATTTCAAAATCCAAAACATGTTATGTTGTATTATTAAAGGTTATCTATAAGTTGTAAGGCTTTCATTTTTTAGGTAAGATAAAAAAAATGGTTGAAGAATGATGGAGTTGAATGTTAATAAGAGCTTTATGAATTTGTAAGTTTATAGCTTTTATTAATTTGTAGGTTACATTCAACTTTTTCTTATAGTTTTAGAAAAAAAATTAATCTTTTTTTATGATGTAGGTTCTTTATTCAATGAAGAAGTTGAATGTTATGAATAGTTTTATGAATCTTAAGTTCATTTTAAAGGTTGTTTAAAGCTTGACATGGAGTATGGAGAGTGTTAGTACCTTGACCAATAAGTTTTAGGTTTATCAGATTTTTTTTATATTATGGAGAATGTGTAGAAACAAATTTATATGAATGGATTTTAATTAAAATTAAAAGTTTGATTACTATACATTTTTTTAACATATATTATAGTTAAATTATAATGTTGACTAATCATTCTATCTATTTGTGTAAGTGTAAGTTAAAGTTATTAACAGAGCTTTCTGGTTTTATTATTGTTTTAAATTATATAGTTAATTTGTTATTTGATTTGTTTTTATTGTTATAAATGATGAGGTATTGTTTTTTTGCAGGTGTAATTACAAGTGTTAGGTAGTTTACATGCAAAGTAACTTTTCGATTGTGATTTTGGTTTTCATATTGTTATTTTTTTCCTTTGTGTTTGTATTTTTTTCGTGCTTTTATTTATTT